TGAAGTTCATATGTCATGCTGTGTTGTAGCCTACAGAGTGCATAATTCTTCTCCTGATTCGTGGCATGTGTACATTTTAATGATGTCATTTCAGTGTCTACTGACTGACTGATAGACAACACACTACTGTATAGTAGTGCAAGTGGTTAAAAAAGGTGATTACTCCAGATGTTCTTTGGCCCCCTTTCAGGGGAAAAAACTATGAACAGTGTCCCCCATAACAAAAGGTGACACACTAAGTTTAGTCTCAACTCAACTTTACTACATAGCAATAATAATAATACAGACTTTAAATGAAAACCTGTACTCCACTATCATGTGGAGCAAGTTGTACACTATTCACTAAATGGCAAATGTAAACAAGTGATGAAATACTTAATTAAGCTACAGGTGAAAACCAAACAGTATCCAAACAAATGAAAGTGAAAGTTAACTTTAAAGTTACAAGAGAACTTGAAGAGTTTTCAGAAAGTAAAACTACACAAAAATATACATACCTGTTACCAGCAATCAAAAGTGAGAACTTTAATATGAGTTCTCATGTAGAAGCGAAAGTTACAGAAACACATCATGAATATGTAGTGAAAGTCTACTAAAATCCTTGTGTTAACTAAGCAAATTCTACATAAAGCTGTGTAAATTGTAGGTGATCTTTTGTACAAATCTAAGTTAATCTAGGTGAAAATCTGCATAAGATCTCAGAAAATTCTGCTCTCTCAGGCCTCAACACTGTTTTATATATCACAATAAACTCTTGAGTTTGTGACACAATAAAACAATGATTGGTAACTAATAGATCAGTTGGATATAAGGCTGAAAAGATGACAAGTGAGTCCACCTGTAACTACTACCTAATTTGCTAACAAGAATAACTTGGTGTCTTAATTAAAAAGTGTATTATTGTTCTTGTAAGAGAAACAGATAAGAAGGTGCCTAATCTACACTTCATACGATTAGCCCTAAGGAAAAGCTAAAGTCAAAAACCCTCTTGAACAACGCCATGCTCCAATTTTAGGAATTATAGTGAAAAAGAAAAGATATTCCACAAAATTAACTTTAAACTAATGGAGTGGAAACAGGTAGTACAGGGATTTGGTTTAAAAAAAATTAGGAAATCTAAAAAGGCTTATGAGAAATAGCTGGCTGATAATGTTATAATAAAAAGCAAGGATTTTTAAATATGTTAAAGATAATCAAAATTTTAAAATGGGATTGGACCCTTAAAGGATGCTGATGGCAAGGTTTTTGTTTAAGACTTTGAGATGGCTGGATGTCTAAATGTTATTTTCTGTTTTACAAAAGAAGATATTAGTGATATTCCCAACTCTCTGCATTCTATTGGAAATGTTGAAACCGATTTGAATCAAGTATTTCAATAAGTACAGTAAAATCAAAAGTTGCAGGGAAAGAAAGAATTATTTGTTTTTTAACTATTTTATAATAGTTATAAATAGTACAAGTTTCTATTAATACTAGTAAGTTTGTTTATGATAGACTGCTTGTTCATTCAGTGTCACAAGTGCTATATTCTTTCTACCTTGTTGAATATGTTTTAGTAAATTCATTCCATTCACCACTGCTGACTATAAGACTGTTTTCTGTCATTTCAATATCAGCATTATGGAATTTCATTAACTAGAGACAATAAAGGCAGAGGAAATACCTAATGGAGTCCTAAATTTTAAAACTGAGACTGTGTAGTGAGAGAATATTCAACTGAGAGAACAAAAAATGTGAAACACATGCAGTAATGTTACACTTGAGTTAATAAAGACACAGACAAGAAGAAGCAAAACACTGGTTTTATGTCAGTTATTCATCATTTATGGAAGCCTAATATCAGCACAATTAGAAAGAAAATGTGTCATTATCACCAAAAATCATTTCAGTTGCATGTTATGATATAAACCTAAGAAAAACTGCTCGTATTGTTTAGCTCACTCAATGTTATAAGGTTACATTGGTATTTTTGGTAAAAACAAAGACTTTCACTTTTCATGACGTACATGCATGTGAACTGTACATTGTCATACATAATACAATTTGAAAAACTTAGTTCTTACCAACAAAATGCTTGGGTTAAATGCATGTAACTATGCAGTTTATAGAGGCATGATCTATGATTTCTACATTTTTTAATTGCAAACAGTCATGTTAAAAAATTAACTTTTTACATATAACATAATGAGTGAAAAGGCAAATTTTCCACTAAAAATGTATTTATATCTATTGGCCTTCTTACAAGAATTCATGGGAGTGGTGTTTTATAATTGTAATACATTATGACTGGTTCATACTTATTTACATTTGATAAGTAAGAAGATATGCATAAAACATATTAAATGAGAAGGAAATCATCTGTCACATAGAAACAGTTATTGGTAGAAATTATCATGTGAACCACTAGTTTACCTTAATTACACGTTGATCATTTCATGCAGTGACATAGTAAGTGGGGGCTTGGTGTATCATTTTTCAATCTGTCTCAATTAAAATGCATCAAAACTAGAAAAATTACTCTCAGGAAAGGCAGGAGAACTAATAAAATTCAATCCAGAACCCAAAAGCATCCAGGGCCCTAAGGCAAGCCCTTGACCCCCAGCCATAATGGATGTGCTTGGTAGGGGTTAGAGAAAGACTAGTTAATTTTTTGGTTGTTAGTAATGCAGTCCAACTGATCTTCATTACTAATGGAGTATCTCAGGGGTCCTTTGCTTTTCTTACTTCATGATATTGATCATGGCATAATTAGTAAAATAATAAAGCTTGCTGATGTTATTAAACTCTTCTGTTTTATAGCTTTGGGTTTTTAAATATTTCTAAAAAACACACCAGAAGAAATTTCAAAAATAAGTAATCAATTGTATTGATTACTGTTTCTCTACATTGACATCAATGAGGAATATGAGGGTGTTAAGTCAATAGTAAGTGCAAAGCATTTAAACTGGGGATGTGGATAACACCAATGATAGAAGTATGAGAAGAAAATTGTTTATTAGTGCTCATTGTACTAAGTAAACCAGTAAAGAATATTACAGAAGTTAAGAGTTTAGTTTTGTGGGGTATTGTTCAAGTCCTAAAAAAAAAAGTTTTTTTCTCTGTACATTTTAAACTGAAACAGAATACACAACTTGACCAATCGGCCTATGTTTGTATACAAGCACAGTACAGTCACATTGACTATTTCTCTCTGACTGCAATCCATTACTCTTATCTTGCAAACTTGTTTGTACTACTACTTAAAACATCTCTCAAACAAGATAATAAAAACTCACTTACTACAAAGCAGGTCCCAAGAAATGCAAATCTAACCAGCCTCCGAGTTTCAATGTTTTTTAATGTTTTCTGTTCCACCACTGTCTGGCAGATGAAGTCCCCACATGCCATTAGAATTCCTATAGAAAACTGAAATTAATACTATGTCAAGATAGTCTTCAAAAATCTTCAAACATTTCCATAAATTACATGTACTAGACCTGAACACTCGAATCATTTAAAAGAGGATAATACAAAATCTAAAAACACCTTTCCATCAATACCTTGCTAGTAAAAATATTTAACTCAATATTCTGATAATGCTTATATAAAAAAATCACTTCAAATAGAAATGGCTTAATAATGTGTGGTTCTACATGTAGCTGTAAGAACCATTTCAATTATTTATAGTTTGTTGTTATGCACAAAGCTACACAATGGGCTGTTTTGGCTGTGCCACTACAAGTAATCCAAACACAGTCTTTTACATTGTAAGCCTTCAGACTTACCACTGAGCCACTTGGGGAGCACTATTTATAGTACAACATTTACATTTTCCAAAGAGGTATGCTTAAGAATTAAGTTTTATTCCTTGAGACCACAATTTGACATAAAGCAGAGTGGTCTTATTCACTCATGATGATCTTAGAACAACTGGTACATTTACTTGATATCGTTCTTTTTGCAAAGCCAAGAAATCATGCAATTTGGGTCACTAAAGCATCTACTAACAGGGTTTCTATAAACTGTCCTCTTTAAAAGTCAGTTCAGTCACACTTCTTTCCTATGTTGCTTTACAACGTATGTGGAATTGAGCTTACAATTAATTAAGTTTTAATACATAAGTTGTACCTACATGCCATGAAAATTGAAATTGAAAAAGTGGTCATGCCATGACCTTTATTGGCCATACAACTTCATACAACCCTGCATCTTAAGGAAATTACCTTCTGACGTTTTGTATTCCTATTATTACTATTAGTATTCATATTCTTACTCTCAGTATTATTATCATTCATATTCTTACCACATACCAGTCGTTATTGTCTGAGTTTTCCACGGATGTTTATCCAAGACACGTAGATACCAACGTAAGCAAGAAGTAGCCATGGCAAAGAAAATTATATGACTTATATTTTAACCTTTGGAAAGTGACAAAGAGAATTAATACAACTTAATTTAAGATACCTTAAAACTTATTTTCCTTCATATTATGTAACCAGTAGACGGAGGTTGTAACAAAGCCTACTCAGATATGCTTGTAACTATAACTCATATTCGTGCTCAAAATCAAATGCTATTTACACTCTTCATCCCCTAGTAAGACTGTTGCATGTTTGTCCCCCTTTCCAACTAAAAATGTGATGCTTAAAATATCAAATCTAAATCAGTTTGTACTATGATTGCGGAACAATAAAAATAATGAAATACAAATCTGTAACAAATCAATCAGTTTATAAGTGTGAGTAGAATGGTACTATTATGATTTTTAATATAGTGATCACTGAATGTGAGTTACTTCTCTAGCGTAATTTTGTTTCTTTATTATTAAGTGCCAAGACACACAACGAGCTACCTGTGCTGTATCCACAGCAAATAATATCGAAACACATTTTTTTTTTTTTGCATTTTCTCAACTAACCCCTCAGGTGGAGGAATTAGGATCTGTTTGTTTATAATTTCGCGCAAAGCTACATGAGGCCTATCGGCGCTAGCCGTCCATAATTTAGCGGTGAGAGACCAGAAGGCAGCTAAATCTTGGGGTACTCTTTTACCAACGAATAATAGGATTGATCGTAATTTATAACGCCCCCACGGCTGGAAGGGTGAGCATATTTGGTAACGAGGATTCCAACCCGCGACCCTCAAATTGGGAGTCGAGTCAACAAACAAAAAAAAAAAAAAGGAAAAAGAAAACCCTATCGTTCTAATTGTTTGGTAGGCAGGTATATCATATGTTTCCCACCATTTTTGTTAACTTTTAATTTTTATTTTGTTTAGTTAGTTTTTATGTAATTTGGGCTTCCACACGTTACTCAGAAAACTGTTGAAATTGTTACCTTGTAGTTGCCTTTGTGCCTTTATTCTCTATAACAGATAAATTATTGTGAACTACATTTTCAATGTTTTATTTTAGATGTTTGTTAGAGGAAACTGATAATGTAATGATTTAGAAATTTTCGAAAATTTGGAAAATGAGAGGATATTATAATTGCGAATATAAGTGAATTAGCTAGTGAGTTAATGAGTTGATTATGAAAGAAAAATGAATGATTAATCAGTTAAGTATTTGGTGAGTGATTTAGTTCACTGTTTTTGTTTATTAAATTAATCAATCAATCAGCAAGGAGATTCCATAAGTACGTTTGTTTTTGTAAATTATTTTTCAAATTATTGTTCAAATATTGTTTATGAACTTATACCTACTTGTTTGTTTACGAGCAAAGCCACAATGGGCTATCTACTGTGTCCACCGTGGGGAATCGAACTCCTGATCGTAGCGTTATAAGTCCTTAAACTTTCTGCTGTCCCACTCAGGGACGTCTGTGCTCTGCCCACTACAGGTATAGAAACCCACTTTTTAGAGTTATAAGTCTATAGACTTATCATTGAGCCACTGGAGGAGATGTCAAAGGGAACATAACATATAGCAAATATCATAGAAGAAATACATTAATTCGTTATTATTACGTAGACTTGGCATTAGTTTTCTCCATATATAAAGCATACAAATTTTTATGTTTGTCCGTTATCTAACTACTCCTAGGTCGCTGAGCCAATCTCAATCAAACTTTTTGGGATGATAGTTTGGAACAAGGGGCATGTTAATGGGGGTTCACAACTCCCTCCACTCCCTTTATTGCAGTTATTGAGCGCTTATTATATTTGACGTAAGTTAACGTTAACTATATTCACAGATGGCGCCACGTTCTTACACCAAAAATAAAACTATTAAATTTTCTATAACACAGACACACTGTGAGGAGAGAGCACACAAACGTCTTATATATCTCAGAGAGTGTGCTAGCACTCTCTACAGAGGAATACAATGAAAAAACAATGGTCGCCACTATTGCAATAATACATAAATTCAGCTAAAGTTTCTACCCCAACAGCAACAGTAAGGCTGGTATGAACACTGAAGAGCCATTTCTTTAGTTATACCCACTTCCTACTTTGACTCATAACCTTTCAACTTCGGCCCATATGACACTTCTGCAGCCAATGATCGTCAGCTAATTAATCACGTGAAACACACTGTGGAAGGACATTAAGAGGTGGGTGTTGAAAGAGGATAACAGAAGGCACACCTACCGCCACAATTTTTTTGGCTACCTCTTTCTACAAAGTCACCCTGACCATTGCACAGTGTATAACGTGTTTTAAGTATTAACATATTGAGTTATTATAGCTTATACAAAACTTCTGATGAGGTAATAATAAATACTTAATAACATGTCCTAACTTGCACACAATTTATCTATAACATAGATATTGTTGCGTCATCGAGGTCACGTGACTGGTGTGGCGCCACCTATTTTCTAGAACTATCCTGTACCTTGGCGAATGCTCTAGTATTTACTAGATATAGGGTAGCCTGGTATATAAAAGAGGGTGACAACGTGACGGGACAATAGTGTGTGTATAGGTAATGAGTAATTGAACTGCAGTCAGAGAGAGACAACGAACGTTAACTTCAACAATACCCGTTATAGTGTTTGTTTTAGCGCGAATATTGAAATTAAGTGTATCGTAAAGTTATATTCGGAAAGAATAAACCAGTTTTATTAAGTAAGGACTTGTGTCGCTAAAGCTTTGTCGAAACGAAGTTACGGAAAGTTAATTAACAAACGGAGACGTAACAAATTGGTGTCAGAAGTGGGGTAAAAAAAAAATGGAAACTAGAAGCGGCAAATCAAACTACAGCATAGCAGACTTGATGGCAGCAATTCAAGAACAGCAAAAGAAACAAGAAGAACGAGAAGAGAAATTACAAAAGTTTTTAGAGGAAAAAGAAAAGAAACAAGAAGAACGAGAAAATAAACAAGAAGAGAGACAACAGCAGTTGCAAGAAAACCTGCAACAGTGGCAGCTGGAACAACAAAATAAACAAGAGAGATTACAGCAGTTGTTGGAGGAAAAAGAAAAGAAACAAAAAGAACGAGATATTAAACAAGAAGAGAGATTACAGCAGTTGTTGGAGGAAAAAGAAAAGAAACAAGAAGAACGAGAGATTAAACAAGAAGAGAGATTACAGCAGTTGTTGGAGGAAAAAGAAAAGAAACAAGAAGAAAGGGAGATTAAACAAGAAGAGAGATTACAGCAGTTGTTGGAGGAAAAAGAAAAGAAACAAGAAGAAAGG